ATGTAATCTTATCTAAATTTATTATAAAAGCTGAGGTTTGTTATTTACTAAAAAGTTATATTTTAGTTGGTGTCAATGATCTAATGTTGCATTTGGTCAGTCTCAGTCCTTTGCTTTACTTAAGTATATTATATTTTCCTTTTACAGCTGCAGACTGAGGAAGATCCTGAAACACACCAGCAAACCCTAAAACAGACAACAGTTTACAGTTGTTTTTCAGTGGCAGCAAAAATATGACAAACTTTTGGGTGAAACTTGTTTACTTTTTTCATACTTTTTTCATACTTTTATCACTTGTGGATAAACTTGAAACAATTTTAAGTATAAAGAATGGCACTGGTTTTGTACATTAAATTTTTGTTTAAGGTTATTAATAAAAATAATGTTGTTCAAATAGCATGTTTTTGTGTTCTAACATTAAAGTTTTTAAATATACTTTTATATTGCATTAATTTCACATTCGATTTTCAAATGAATGTAGAAAAAACAAAGACAGTATATTTTGTTTAGTTTGGTTTAGTTTATTTGTTTAGTAGCAGCTTTTTTTATGTCTGTATCACTGATACCAATCCTGCTGATGTCTCTATGAAATGGTTAATTTTTTTTCTAATATTTAACCATTGACTATAGCCATTCAACATTACAGTAGCTATAATTGAGAGCTATCAACTGTAACATTTATTAGACTTTAAAAAATAACAAATTCTAGTGAACTTAAAACCATCTTCGCATAAACCCATTACAATAAATGTATAATATAATGTAAGTATTAATTAAATTGTTATTACTACCAAAAGTTTGGAAACATTACAATTAATGATTTTGAAATAAATCTCTTCTGCTCACCAAGGCTGCATTTATTTGATCAAAAAGTAAAAACAGCAATTCTAAAATATTATTTAAAAAGTTTTCTATTTTAATATAGTATAAAATGTAATGTATTCCTGTAATTTATTATGCAAATTAGAATTTTATGCATGATTACTCCAATTTTCAGTGTCACATGATCTTTCAGAAATCATTAAATTTTTTCAGGATTGTTTGATAAATAGAATGTTAAATGGACAGCATTTATTTGCATTTATCAAATATATTTATTAAATAGAAATCTTTTGTAACATTTTAAATGTCTTCACTCACTTTATCAATTTAATGTATGATGAATAAATATTAATTTCTCTCTCTTTTTTAAATCTTACCACAAATGTTTGAGTGGCATTGTTCACACAAAAATGTTAAGCAGCAAAAACATTGACATGTATAAATAGTAAATGTTTCTTGAGCAGAAAATCAGCATATTAGAATGATTTCTGAAGGATCATGTGACACTGAAACTTATCTTTGTAAACAACAGATTTATAAACGATTCTAATGACGAATGTTGTGTTCCAAATGTAAATTAAAGCAACTCTAATGCAGCTAGCATTTACAGCGACTAAGCATTCTCAAATTCTCATCCCCATTCAAAAAAAAAAAAAAAAAAAGTTACCGGGGGGAATAACACATTTCAGCACGGATTCTACTCTCATTTGGCATTTTGAACCCTTTTAAAAGTCCTGCAAATGGTGCCGCGAGCTCATACAGCGCTCTCAGGACCATTCCGTCTGATGTATAAGAAAACATAACCTTTTTGCAGTTTATTTAGTTAATTGCTTAAGGTCATTTCGCAATTTCAATCATCATGCACTAACTAGCATCACCCTGGACAACCCTAAATTTATTTTATGACTAATCTGCATGATTTACGTGGGTCATGGTTTTAGGCCAAAATAACCGGAAGTCCGGATTAATCCTTAAGAATCACATCCCTGATGAAGGGGGAAAATAGGACTAAACTTGGCATCTTTTTGTGTGCTTTACCCAACCTTCTGGACCACTGCCAGTTCCCTGAGGTACTCCCTTTGGCTTTAGCTTTTTCTCAGATTCAGAGACTGATGAGGGATAGATATAATGAAGGGGGTTATAAAAGAAATCTGAAATCAGTGGTGGACTGAGTCTAAGTGATACAACAAGATATGAAGGTTCAAAATGTAATGTAACAAATATAAATGGTAGCACCAGTTATGCGCACAACACATTTTGGCTAATTTCCATCTTAAAACTTGAGTTCCCACAAGTGTCATATTTAAAAAGATCAGCCTGATACTTTGACAGAGTTTCTGCTGGTTGGCATGATATGAGGCACTCCAAAACTAAATGGAAATTGTCGGGGAAATACTCTGCCCATTTTCACATAACCCTTCCAGGCATGTCTAGAGTGATCAAAATGTTAAAAGAATCATTCACTCAAAAATGAAAATTGTGTCAATTTACTGTCGACAGACACCAAAGGTTCTTGCATTTCTCATAAGTGAAACATGCAAATGAATATGCATACACATGAAAGACATCTGAAAGCTACAGCAGAGGGTGAAATGAATAATGAATATAGTAACTTAAATTAAGAGAAAGCTACTGTATGGCTTCAGTAAACTTGTACTATAGGGTGAGAATCACATAGACCACTTTTATAGGTAATGCTTTTAAGACTGAAAGCCCATGGTTATCATATATTATGGAAAACAGCGTCTCTGATGTTCAATTAATCTCCATGGGAATCCATACAGGTCTGGAACTACACTGTTCAAAAGTTTGGGGTCTGAAAGATTTTTTTAATGTTTCTGAAAGAAGTCTCTTATGCTCACCAATTATTTGATAAAAATCAATAAAAGTATTACAATTTAAAATAACTTTTATATTTTAAAACAATTTATTCCCCTGATGGCAAAGCTGAAATTTTAGCAGCCATTGAAACTTTATTTGCATATTACTCACTAAATCTTTCTAATTCGCTGCTCAAGAAACATTTCTTATTATCAATGCTGAAAACAATTGTGCTGCCTAATTTGTTTGTGGAAACCAATATACATTTTTTTCAGGCCATTTAAGTTCAAAAGTAGGGCTGCACGATATTGGAAAAAGCTCACATTGCGATATTTTTTTTCTGCAATATATATTGCGATATGGAGAAAAAATCTGATGACATGGCTCTATTTGGGAAAAAAAAAAAAATCAATGATTGGGGTGATTTTGTAGGCGAGTAAACCAGCATAGGAAATAAACTAATTAGAAGCATAGATAAATAACAGAACAAAGATACAAATGAAATAAGCAGTGCTTTATATTTTTCAGGCAAGTCTTAACAGTTTTCAGGTACAGAAACTGAATAATCAAATGTAAAATAACGCTGCACAGTTTACACTATAAATTAAATGAACAATTCTGTGTTAAAGCTACAAAAGTGATTTTTCTTTGCGTTTTGTTGTTTGATTAACGTTCATGACAGAGAAAGCAACAGGAACATTGAACTGCTGTGAACCAATATACTGTTACACATCCATTTTCTTTCTCAATTGTTTCCCTTCCCCTAAGCAACTGTGTTTACAAGGATACTTGCAGAGCACAGTATTTCAGGCACAAATAGATGCAGAAGGGAACAGAATTCAGTGTTCACGTGCATCTGCATGGCTCTCACAGAGTCTACACTGGACGCAGCGCGGCACGACAAATCCCCGACAGTAAACTGATGCCTTGTTCTCTTTATGACGTACTGACACAAAGTTCAAATGATATGCAATGGTCGCTTTAGGGCCTTTCGCACCGCGGGAACCTTTTCATAGTACTAGAACTAATTGTGGAACTACCCACTTTTTGGCGTGTTCGCACTGCCGGAACTGGGTGCGGTTTTAGTACCGGACTGCCTTTTTCGAGAACCAAATTAGCTCCTACTCCGGAGCAGGGTCTAACCAGCACAACTGGTACTAATCGTGACGCAAGTGGACATTGATTGGCCAAACACATACGAAAACGCCCTCACCCGCCATGATTTAAAACGCTGTGTAAACATACTGTAAACATTGTGTCAACTTATTTCGCAAGTATGGAGAACAGCGATAGATGGACGGACGCTGAAGTGTAGGCACTTGTAGCAAATGTAGAACTGCCAGTTGTCGTTGGAGATTCTTAGTCCTCCTTTACGTTCTTTCAATCGCTTTACGTATACTTCGACTTTGCATGTCCATTATTGTGAAACCCGCGAGACACAACAAAAACACCGCTCCGATCACAGCGTCCTCCATCCTCCTTTTGTTAACGTTGTTCTTCTTTGTTTCTGTTGTTGAATGCAGCGCACAAATGACGTCGCTGTCGACTGGCTTACGTCACTTCTTAGTACACACTGTCGGTGTGAATGCAACCCTTTAAATGGTACTGGGAAATAGTTTGCGAAAAATCGTCCCAGTACTTTAGTACTGTACATTTAGTTCTGGAACTAAAGCGGTGCGAAAGGCCCTTTTGTCGCATCCAGTGTAGACAGACTTTGGGGCCGTTCGTTCACATGTCGCGCCTAAAAACGCGTGGAAAACGCCAACCGCGCCACTTTCTCCTTCTTTCCAAAGCGTTCGGCAGCTTGCGCTTTCGTGGCGTCTGCCATTGCTAAGAGACCGTGACCTGCGCTCTCCACGACGACGCAGAAGTTTCAACAAAGGATAAATGGATTTCCAGCACTGAAAATCGCTTGCAGAAGGTCTGCTACTAAAATGATTTAAAATAGGTATCTCTGTACAGCTATCGCGTCCGGTGTAGACACCGTGTCTGTGTGTGAGCAAAGAAAACAATCAGTATAAATATAACGAGCAGTATACTAAACATTGCACATCCTGCGATGTGAATATCGCGGATGCGCACATCACGATATCGATGCTGAAACGATATATCGTGCAGCCCTATTAAAAAGGACAGCATTTATTTGAAACGCCAATCTATTGTAGCATCAAATGTCTTTACTGTCATTTTTGATCCATTTGACATCCTTGGCTAAAAAAAAATTTTGTTTAAATAAAAAAAATACTATCCTTACTGACGAAACTTTTGAACTGTAGTGTATGAGAGGTTGAGTAAACAATAATTGTCACTTTTTGTGAACCAACCTTTCAAAGAGTAAAAATGTGTATGTGTCTCACCAGTTTGAGCTGAAGCAGAAGCTGGTAAACATCAGCCATGTCCGCCAGTACAAGCAGATGAGTGACAGCAGAAAGAAGGGCACGTGCAGCACGGACCATGTTGCCTCTCTTCATTGAAGAACAGGGATCCTCTGCAAACTCTCCTGAGGACAACTTCATGGATTCTCCTACAAAAAAATATTCATGCAGTCTCATTAATAGTTTTAATTTGTCCTTTCATAGCCTTTATGATGCAAGAGTAGCAAGGTCAATGAAATTATTTCCCAATGTGGAAGTCGACATAACAGATAATTCAACATCTGAAGATGCAATTACTTCAAAAGAGGCCTTTTGAAATGCTAAAGACTGGGACCTAATTATTCTCCGTTATTTGATTAAAAGCCGCTTCAGTTAATTGACAATGATAATACAATCATTATTTGTGACCACCAAGGTCACTTGTGAGACAACACAAACACATAAGAACACAACGTACAGGAGGTTCTTTAGTGGCAATCCGGCCTTACAAACCCAAGTAAACAATGAACACGGCAGGGGAAAAACATCAATAATTCCCTGTAACAAAGAGCTACATGGTGAGCTGTGAAACTTAAACCAAGAATTCAGGCGGTAGGTCTGACTCAGCCACCCTGCAGTCTGTCATAAGAGCAGAGCCAAACACTACACACAAGAACAACTACAAGGTGAAATATAGAGCTAATCACCAGGGCAGCGGGTGTTCATGTTCCAGGATAAATGCCAGTGGTTAGGGGGGTGATGGGTTAATTGCATTAGGATGTCATTTTGTGAAATGCAAGATGGAGAGGAAAGTCAGAAGCAGTGAAACATTGTGGTGAAAGCAAAGGCTCGATTCATGTCTACTCATAGCCAGCTCGGTCACATGCTAGCACACCAAACGAGTCCTTTCAGTGAAGGTCGAGTCCCTGGGATAACACTGATTTCTTATCTGATGTGCTTGCGAAAGGGTGTCATCACTTGCCTTCACATCCCAGTTGGCTCATGTTGAAACCTTTTCAATGCGACAAAGCAGAGCATTTTAAAAGCAGCATAAAATACGGAAATGAATAAGCGCAGGCATATGACCTCAAACCTCACATCGGACATGGTTTCAGGTTGTTTTGTCAAATGTGTTGGCAAATGCACTGAACAGAATCATGCAGGTCTCCGCATCCCACTCAAGTCATACATAAAAATAAAAAAGCCTGCAAAGAAAGTGGCCAAGAGTGCAAGTAATGGCCAAGTTCATAACTAGACTAAACTGAAATTGACAATGAAAAGAGAGAAAAATAAATTTGAGGGGGCAGTGAGTAAGAGCGTCTCATTCTTTCCTTTGTTGATGCTTGGAATAATGTGCACACTGCACAGTGTTCCCTGGTAACAGGAAGCAAGTATCGCAGAATGATGGCAACAAGATTTTCTGGCTTATTACGCAAGTGGTGGTTGCCACACACACTGAATGGTATCTCTAAAAACCTTCCTATTTTTATCCATCACATAAAAAGAAATTCACCCCACCATAAACCACACAAAAAGAACTAAGGACTCTGGGACTGTCATTCCCTCCTGAGGGTGCAATCAATAAGACTATTTTCACGGGCCTGATAGTAATCAGTGCACCCACAATAAACTCACATCTATCACTTCTAAGGTAGCGCTCACAAGGGGACCACAGAGGCTTGTGATGAAATGTTAAAAGCAGATGTCTGAAGGCACAATGAGCATCCAGATACCTTGGAGGGAAGGCAGATGGCATTATCATACCCAGCATCCTTCATCCGTCCAGTTGAAAGGTGTGAAGCAATCAAAATCAGTTTCTACGGTAAATAACACACTTCCCACCCAGGAGACATGCTAATGTTATTCTGGAGCTGTTAGGGAGAAAATCGTTCAAGGATTCGGTAGTTTCTAGCATGCATTACCCAACGATTACATTTGCCCGGCTAGCAGAACAGCTGGTAAGCCACAGCTGGGTACCGGGATCTCTTTTCAATCTATGGAAGCTTTAACCCCACTCAATGGTGGCATTATCAGTCAAACTACGCATGGTCAAGTAAAACTGCATAGCTGACAGTCTCCGGCACCAGCGAGCAACAGCGTCTGGATTCCGCAGCCAATGACAGCACAGCAAAACTAATGTGACATTCCTCTGCATCACAGCAGCGTGCTGGCCAGCGCTTGACAGATTTTACAGCCCAAACTAAGCCAATAAACACGGAGTGTCCAGAGTCTGAAACTGACAAAGATGTTATTCCAACAAGTGATAAGAGGGTTGAGCCTGCACTCCGCATCTCAGAAGTGCGAAATGCCACAATAATTCTAGAAAAATGGGGCATTCTGACCCATGAAGTTCCAGTCAGACACTCACTTCGAATGACAATATATGGTGATAAATTTATGGCTACAGGTTATTTAAGGCACAAGCCAACAGACTTGGCCTGAAGTCTTGCATAAGTAAAGTGTCGCATTCTCCACATCTGACATCACCTTTGACAACTGGCAGACTCCATGTACATATGCAAGTTGTTTTGCGCTTGTTTTCGCATTCTTGTCAACCGAACATAAATAAAAATATATTGATGGATCAGCACAGCAAGTCAAAGCAAGCTGTTTGTTACAGAATGTGACAATCCCTCCTTAGCACAGGTAGCATAGCCATATAACTAGGATTAGTTAGCAATCAATGTAAAAAATGCCATGCAAATTTACAACATAAACTGAAGGCCTCTAAACTCATGCTGATATGATGAGGCTATTGCATCTTATTTAAATGAGTCAATCGAAAATGTACGTTAACTAGAGTGTCGCAGTGATCGCATATCGATATCAGCAGGATTTTAATAAAAAATGCATGGCAAACAAGGCACGGAGAAATGAGGAGTTGTGCAATTTGACAGGGTTAAACCCTTCTATTAACCTCTCTTCTCCATCCTCTTTCCATAAGGAGGCATGGCAGAGACACTAGTGATGTTCCGTAATGAGAACGAACAACATGAGATTGAGTGAGGGGATATACAGTCTTGGGGAGAAGTACACACTCCAATGCACGATAGCAGCAACTCTGACAGCACAAGCCAAGCTCTCTTAATTCAAAAAATCTATCGCACATGCAGATAAGCACAGACAGATAATGAAAACAGGAAATTAAACCACCGATTAAAGCCGTTGCTTGAATTAGGATATTCATCCGTTTCTTATAATAGTTTCAATGGCTGCAGACACTTTTGAACTTATCGTAGAGGTAACACCAGGGCTGTGTATTGTCAAATTTGACACATTGATTTGTCTCCGATTTAAAAACTCTTAATTTTATATTTATTTGTTTGGACAAATATCAGGGTACAGTACATGTCAACAGTCTCTCAACTTGTAATAGTGAGAAACAATGAACAACACTCAACTGTGTGTGTGTAAAAAAAATTTAAAAAACCTGAATTACACAAGGTAAGCAATAAGCAAAAAAAAACCTCAAAACTGAGTTGCATAAAAAGATTGAAATTGCACATATTTTTGTATCACTTTATATCTATGCACATTTTGCATGTCTCCTTATTTAACACACCTGATTGAAATCATCTGCTCATTAGGAGAGACCTCCATGAACTGAACTGAGTGTGTCAGATAAGGGAGATATACAAAACGTGCAGAGCAGGGAGTCCCCAGGACCAGGATTAAGAACCACTGGCATAAGTCATACACTAACACACTCTGTAACGAACACATCGCTAAAAGGTTAGCATCAAAACAACAAAAATATAATAAATATCAGATATATTGCATATATTTAGTAAAATGCTCCTATATAGAGTAATTTGTTCTAGCTAACTAATGAGCTATGGACATTGAATGGCTTTCTTAGGGTAAATGTAACATTATGTTTTATGTTATTATACAAGCTGTTTCCCATGGCTGAAACACTGATTGAGAGATTAAATGAGACATGATACATTTCAGTATGTTGTACCATTACTTTGAACATGCTTTCTGACGTTCATTCATGTTTATTTCAAGCTATAACTAGTAGTACTTCAAAAAAGATGATTATTGGATAGACAGCAAATTAAAGTAGTTTAATTAAGTTTTGTTCACACAGAAAACAGCATAGACTAAAAAAAAATTCTTGGAATTTAAGAACTGATATCAGTTCATCAAACTTAATCAATATTGTCAACCCAGCCCTAGTTAACACACTTCTTTTTTGCATACCTTGCTTGCGGACATCCTCCATAAGTCATACACTAACACACTCTGTAACGAACACATCGCTAAAAGGTTAGCATCAAAACAACAAAAATATAATAAATATCAGATATATTGCATATATTTAGTAAAATGCTCCTATATAGAGTAATTTGTTCTAGCTAACTAATGAGCTATGGACATTGAATGGCTTTCTTAGGGTAAATGTAACATTATGTTTTATGTTATTATACAAGCTGTTTCCCATGGCTGAAACACTGATTGAGAGATTAAATGAGACATGATACATTTCAGTATGTTGTACCATTACTTTGAACATGCTTTCTGACGTTCATTCATGTTTATTTCAAGCTATAACTAGTAGTACTTCAAAAAAGATGATTATTGGATAGACAGCAAATTAAAGTAATGTTTAATTAAGTTTTGTTCACACAGAAAACAGCATAGACTAAAAAAAAATTCTTGGAATTTAAGAACTGATATCAGTTCATCAAACTTAATCAATATTGTCAACCCAGCCCTAGTTAACACACTTCTTTTTTGCATACCTTGCTTGCGGACATCCTCGACTGCTGCGGTCAACTCGTCCTTTAAGAACTGGCTCTCTTTAGCAATCTTCTCGCCTTTCTCCAGGAAGTTCTGGGTGGCTGTCTCCACGGAGGCTGCTAGAACATGAGCCTTCTTGGAGCGTCCCTTCTTCTTGTTGGATGGTCCTTTGTTGCTAGAGTTCACAAGTGTGGTAACCTGCAAATGGTGCAAGAAAGATTTAAGGAAAACAGCAACCTTTGGTGATTAATACAACAACTGAGGATGAATATAGGAAAAGTAGCCTGACCTGGGCAACCAAGGGCTCCAGCAGTCTTTCCACAGCCAGTGTGCGGATCTCCAGGCTCTTGGGATCCCATTTGAAGTTGATGTTTGCTGTATTAATGCTTGTCATCATTCTGAGGAGAGAAAAAGCGATCAATGGATTCAGAGGGGTGGTGAGACAGAGACAAATAAGCGGGCTATGTCTTTTATCAAATGAAATGTCACATGACAGATTCATGTTAAGTTTACACATTCACTTACGATGTAAACAATCCACACTGCTAACCAAAACTAACCCACAGTTATGCCATCTGAGTAGCTCTGTTGCCAATTCTGCTATTTTCCATTCAAACAGTGACCGCAGTTGTATTGATCAGCAATCTTGCACTGAAGGACAGGGATAATCAGCCTACCCTGAGGGCTCTGCTGTTGTTGCAGGGGTCTGTCTGCACTAGACAGCCAGACTAAATGGACATTGTTTGCTATATAGGTCAGGGAATGCAGACAAAGTGGGCGAGGTCAGTGTTGCATGACCAACATACTTGGAATAAAACCTTTGAATTCAAACGTGTCCTACAAAAAGTTAGGACATTCAACTTTGGCCCAAACAAACTAAATGCATAGCATTTTTATAATAATAAAAAAAAAACTACATAAAAAAATGAAGCTAAATGAATGAGTAATTTCCATATATACATGCTCATTGGGTGGAAAATGTTGCTATTTAGTTGATTACCATCAAAACAAACAAAACAGTAAGAATAGGATTCCGGCGGTAAATATCCCATTCTATTTCTCAATCAGGAAATTGATTAACAATAACTTACAAACTGTTAAAGTAAAAAAAAACTATTAAAGACTAGAGATGGGTATCGTTTTCATTTTATCGATACCGATACTGGTACTTATCGATACTGTTATCGATATTATTTGGTGCAAAAAAATATGAAGTGAAAAGCTGTTGAAAAATTTAAAAAGTTATTTTATTACTGCTGAACTTAAGCAACTTCAAGTTCTTCAAGTTCTTCAGTCAAGAGCAGTTCTATTTCTCAATCAGGAAATTGATTAACAATAACTTACAAACTGTTAAAGTAAAAAAAAAACTATTAAAGACTAGAGATGGGTATCGTTTTCATTTTATCGATACCGATACTGGTACTTATCGATACTGTTATCGATATTATTTGGTGCAAAAAAATATGAAGTGAAAAGCTGTTGAAAAATTTAAAAAGTTATTTTATTACTGCTGAACTTAAGCAACTTCAAGTTCTTCAGTCAAGAGCAGGGAGTTATTTTTCTCTTAATGTTTTATTTTATTAACATTAAAAGAATAGTTCACCCAAAAAAAAACAGTGTTTAGTATTGCTGCTTTAAGAGCTGCACGCATCTGTTTTTTCTCAACGGTTTACTTTCACTTTAGACATAATTAACTGTTTATATGTAAATTTTGTGTGTTTTTGACCGTATTAGCACAATCAGACGATAACTAAGATAACCATGTAATCAGGTGCTGTTTGACCGGCCTTTTAGTGCACGGATGCTTCGGGTGTACGCGTCCTGAATAAGCACATGTTAGAACAGCACGCAAAAGAATAGTTCACCCAAAAAAAAACAGTGTTTAGTATTGCTGCTTTAAGAGCTGCACGCATCTGTTTTTTCTCAACGGTTTACTTTCACTTTAGACATAATTAACTGTTTATATGTAAATTTTGTGTGTTTTTGACCGTATTAGCACAATCAGACAATAACTAAGATAACCATGTAATCAGGTGCTGTTTGACCGGCCTTTTAGTGCACGGATGCTTCGGGTGTACGCGTCCTGAATAAGCACATGTTAGAACAGCACGCAACTTAAACGTTTAACCAGCAAGGATTCAAAGCACGTGGAAATAATGTACTTTTGTGATTGCGAATAAGTCTCGTGAGTGTAACTCTACCGAATCAACATTTGATGTGAATGTGTCTCACGAGTTTCAGTTGGAGCTGGAGCCGCGAGACATAATACAGCGCATTGCTTGAGGTAGATGATGTATTTTGTTAGTAAATGTTTCATTATATTACTAGTGTTGCCTCCCTTGTTTACCATTACACTACTGCATATACTGCATCAGACACTGGTGTCGCCTAGTTTGTGTCACACATGTGCATGGATATCACACGCACGTTGAGCAAACATCGGCAACATCATTCAGTGAAGGAAAATGACAAGCACCAGCTTCTAATTCTTCGTTAACATTGAAGTATACGGGGATAAAACAATGCAAGTATTGATAACAGTATCGTTTGTCCTGGACAGGGTTTCTGCAGGAAATTTCTCTCAAATTTAAGACCTTAAGACCTGCACAAATAAAATTAATACCATATGAGCGGGTAGGGCAATGTCTATAGTACCATATTAAACTGGAAAAATTACTGTAAAAAGCATAACTTACAGATACAAGTTTTCACAAAAATAAAAAGTTTTATAAAATGATAAGCGTTATATTTCAGCCTTTAAACCATTTTTAAGAAAATGGATGAGTCAAAAGTATTAATTACTATCTTAATTTAAACAATTAACAACAATAAATTATTATATCAATTAAATAACAAATTAGGGGTGTGCGATATTGACAAAAAATTATATCTCGATAATTTACAGGGATTTTATCGATAACGACAATTAGACAATATTTTGCTGAATGTGTTATTGTGCTGATATCTTATCTCTAATTGTGCTGACAGCTGACCAGTATTCATTTTGCCAGCAAATTTTTATTTAGTCTTAGTCATAGTCTTTTGACTAAAATGCCATTTAGTTTTAGTCATATTTTAGTCATCTGAATTGTATTTAGTTTGTCGACTAAATCTGCAGTAAATTTAGTCGGCTAAAATCTAATGGGTTTAGTTACAGTGCATTTATTAAGCATTTCTCTAAAATTTCCAAACTCATTATATAGGTTTGACATTAAGGTTATATCATGATAGACACCGATAGGGCTGCACAATAAATCGAAATGGAATCAAAATCCCGATTCGACAGAAGCTGCGATTGTCATGCGTATCTTTCAGTGAAGCACGGTTCTGTGATCAGCAGTAAATCTCCATCTAAAGGCCAGAGGGCGCTCTTGCGCTTAAACTCCAAATACGCCTCACAGAAGAAACCCAGAAAATGCCTATCGCTGCAGCTGAATAAACAGAAGATTCAACTGCTTTCATTGATTCAACGTGACTAATAAACACACGACTATGGCAATATACGGTTTATCTGAGTTCTTATTTTCATTAAAATAAAGTATATTTATAATGCAATGCCTTTATCACTGCTTAAATATTATGAAATATGTTGCATGCCTTATTCTGTGCAACATCATCTCACAGAAGGATTTATTTCAAACACTCGACTGATATTATGAAGTGAGTTTGGAGTAAAAATTTTATTAAATGTGGTATTTTCACATGCTTTCACATGAAGCAGCATTTACTTTACAGGGCCGTAGTTCACTGAGAAGCTATGCAAACAGCTGTCATTATCGCGAACGATTTCATAATCTCGCAATAAAATCATCTGTGATTTTTTTGTGTAACTTGTCAGTGAACTACGGCTATGTGCAGTAAATTCTGCTCCATCTTATGCATTATTTATAGCAACTTGTTTACCATATTCTTCATTCTTTCTAGTAGACATTTATTTCTACAAATACATTTAGATTAATCTTTAGGGCTACTAAAGTTTTTCAGTCAATTGCAGTGCGTGATTTTCTGTCTTTCTGTTGTTGCTTGATTAACATCAATGACTCGGACAATAGCAACTAAATTAGGCTGCTGTCCATTTAAAACTGAATGCACAGCTCCAATGGATGCAATGTACTGATACACGTTCTTCCTGGTGTTTACGTTCACTTAAGACGTAATCAACTGTGTTTACATGAATACTCGTCAAAACGACAATTCGACATAATTTTGTGTATAAATTCTCCGTTCAAGCGACGCGCTCTCTGTGTGTGTATGCTTCAGTGTTTGCGCTGAGAAAACCGAACCGAACAGAGTTCTCTCTTGCGTCGTCAGATTTATCCATATGTCTGCTCTTCACTTACTCCCAACATATTGACATTTTTTAACGTTTTATGCGACGTGCAGCAAGTGTATGTTAGCTTACGTCCTGCCGGTTCATGTACGCATCTAACCTCCGAACCACGCAGCAGTTTCGTTCTGAATGAATCTCTTCCCAAATCGTCCCTCCCTAACATTTGCGTCTAATTTTTATTAGTTCACGAAAATGTCAATAGATTTACGTCATAGTTGTTGTCATTCAAAAAGAGTTTTAATTCGTTATAGTCTCGTTGTCATCAGTGAAAAAAATGTCGTTGACGACAATTATGACAAATTATTCATCAATGAAATTAACACTGCAGCTGACTCCAGAATTTTTTATATTCTCCATATTCTGTGTGGTTAGTTCACAGCAGTGATAGAAATTAATAATTTCCATCCAGTTTTATGGGCATTTTTACCTTTAAGCCATTTTTTCTAAAAGTGTGCACCATCTTTTGAGTCAAATTCTTGCATTTGGGCTGTTACCAAGCAAATTAAATCAGTATCAACGAAATTGATCTTTGCACTGCAGAGGAAACACAGAAACTGCATTAGAAGTGGCATTTAGATGCAGTTACACTGAGGGACATTACTTTAACCAGCAGTTACAAATGCATAAATAATGTTTTGATATTTTAAACATAACACATTGAAAACTGATATTTGAAATTATTTTAAAAATGAAAAGGTACCTTAAATGTGAAATTAAAACCACCAGTAGGTGGCAGCAAATCACTGTTAAGTGAGTCATTGCGATTGAACCAAATCATTTAAACGGGTGATTCATTCAGGAACAAAACAGAATCCTGTTGCTCAGAGACACAAAACAGCGCTGTGGCTGTGTTTGAAATTATTTTTGTTGGAGAAATACAGTGCTGTGGCTGTGTTTGGAATTATTTTTGTTGGAGAAATACAGCGCTGTGGCTGTGTTTGGAATGATTTTTGTTGTAGAAATAGAGTAAAAACAGGAAATATGGTGTCTAAAACGCAAGTCTCTTAATATTAACTTCTTGTTTATTGAACTGTTGTATAAAATCATTATCACATTTGTAATCATGCT